TTCCTCTATTCATTGTGTCACTACTGGGCTGAATGCTATTTGAGAGGCCCAATTGCATTAAGCCCCAAGTATCTTTCTGCAGCCCACTTCAGCCCATGCCAAACTTCAATCTTTCTCCAACAAGATCTAGAAGCATCAAGTCTTGTCCCAATCATTTCATCTCCTTTCTTCTGTGTGTCAATGGTGGAAGAAATAGAAATCTTCTTCTCTCCAACAAAAACACACCTACAGACACTCGGATGAGAAGATGAGATAAGAGTTGTTGTGGTTGCTGCGTCTGTGTTTTCATTTCTTAAAAGATGAGAAAGACAGAGCATTCTAGAGTCTTCGAGCCCGTTTGGATTGACTTAAAAAAAGTAGCTTTTAAGTCAAAATAAAAAAGTCAAACTGAAATGACTTTTAAGTCAAAAAATAAAAGTAGGGGGAGAACTACTTTTAGTTTTTGACTTATTTTAAGTTATTTTAAACTTATTTTAAGTCATCTTTTACCTTGCCAAACACTTTCCAACTTATTTAAAGTCATTTTTGACTTATTTTAAATTATTTTTCATATTTGCCAAACACTTCCAGAAGTAAAAAACTGACTTAAAAGTAGGTTAGACCAACTTTTAAGCCAAACCAAACACCCTCTTCATCTCAACTAATGACATAATTACCGGTTTACCCTAAAATGAATCAGAATATCAAAAATGCCATTGGTAGTTCTCTCTTTACCTTTCTATATAATAGAAAAATATAAAAAGTAGGCATTTTTGATAAGCATAATGAATAGAAAAAATATTAAAAATTAAATTAAAGTAATAGTAAAATTGAGTAATGAATAGATATCATAATAACTCACAAAAGAAAAGAATGTGAAGTAACAACAAAATAAGTTAATGATAATAACAATAACTTAAGTGTTGTAAAACAAGAGGAAAATATAAGAATACTAAACAATATAGGAAGATAAGTGGTGATGGAAAATATAAATCTCTTCAAGTGTCAATTTTCTAAGGGTGAAGACTACCTTTTATAGGATGTTTAAACCATCCTTTTACAACATTTGACAATACGTTACTATAATAATAAATGGATACATTACGTTAGGATAGATTAGGAGAAACATCCACACAATTAAGTGGATTTGTAACACTCCTCTTTGGATGTTTATAGATAATGTGCCTCATTAAAACCTTACTAGGAAAAATCCAATGGGAAAAAGCCTAGTGAAGGAAAAAGAGTACACACATCTTGTAATACGCCTTGAGTGTTGCCTCATTAAAAACCTTACCAGGAAAACCCAATGGGACAAAACCTTGGCTAAGGGAAAAAGAGTGCAACGCGTATTTTACTCCCCCTGATGAAAAAATTATTTGATATCTTGGAGACGACGCATTCCAATCTTATATCTTAGCTTCTCAAATGTTGACGTTGGCAATGCCTTAGTGAATAAATCTGCAATATTATCACTCGAACGAATCTGTTGAACATTTATCTCACCATTTTGTTGAAGATCATGTGTGAAAAAGAACTTAGGTGAAATATTCTTTGTTCGGTCTCCTTTGATATATCCTCCCTTTAATTGAGCTATGCAAGCAGCATTATCTCTATACAATATTGTTGGAGTCTTTGTTTGTACAGAAAGACCGCATAATTGCAAAATGTGTTGAGTCATTGATCTCAACCATACACACTCTCGACTGGCTTCATGAATGGCTATTATCTCTGCATGATTTGAAGAAGTAGCAACTATTGTTTTCTTCATCGAACGCCATGATATAGCTGTACCTCCATATGTGAATAAATAGCCTGTCTGAGATCGAGCTTTATGTGGATCAGACAAATAGCCAGCATCTGCATAACCGATCAATTCTGACTTGGATGCATTAGAATACAACAATCCCATATCAATTGTTCCTTGAAGATATCTGAATATATGCTTAACACCTTTCCAATGTCTTCTTGTTGGACATGAGCTAAATCTCGCCAATAAACTTACTGCGAAACAAATATCTGGTCGGGTATTGTTGGCTAGGTACATTAGTGCCCCAATAGCACTAAGATATGGTGTTTCATCACCAAGAATCTCTTCATCCTTTTCTTGAGGTCGGAATGGATCTTTATTTATATCGAGAGATCTCACAACCATCGGGGTACTCAATGGGTGTGATTTATCCATGTAAAATCGCTTCAAAACCTTTTCAGTATATGTTGATTGATGGATAAATATTTCACTTTTCAAATGTTCAATCTGAAGGCCAAGACAAAATTTTGTCTTTCCAAGATCTTTCATTTCAAATTCTTTCTTCAAACACTCAACGGCTTTTGAAAGCTCTGTAGGAGTTCCAATGATGTTCAAGTCATCAACATAAACAGATATTATTACAAATTCAGATTTTGACCTTCGTATAAAAATACAAGGACAAATAGGGTCATTCTTATACCCTTCTTTTAGCAAATATTCGCTAAGACGATTATACCACATTCGCCCTGATTGTTTCAATCCATATAAGGATTTCTGAAGCTTTATTGAACAACTTTCTTTTGAATTTTCATATGCTTCAGGCACTTTGAGTGCTTCAGGGATTTTCATAAAAATATTGTGGTCTAGTGAGCCATATAAATAGGCTGTGACAACGTCCATTAGATGCATTTCAAGCTTTTCATGAACTGTCATATTTATTAGATACCTGAAGGTAATTGCGTCTACCACAGGAGAATATGTCTCCTCATAATCAATGCCAGGTCTTTGCGAAAATCCTTGTGCCACAAGTCGTGCTTTATATCTTACGACTTTACCATTTTCATTGCATTTTCGGACAAAAACCCATTTGTACCCACTGGCTTGACACCTTCAGGTGTTCGGACTATTGGTCCAAAAACTTCACGTTTTTCAAGTGAAGCCAATTCTGTTTGAATTGCTTCCTTCCATTTTGGCCAATCATTTCTCTGTCTACATTCATTGACAGATCTTGGCTCCAAATCCTCATCTTGTTGCATTATTTCAACTGCAACATTATAGGCAAAAATATTATCCACCACAATATTATTTCGATTCCACATTTTTCTCGTCGAGACATAATTGATAGAGATTTCCTCATTCTCATTATTTTCTGGTACATGGACCTCTTCTTTGGTGTCATAATTTATTATGTCTCGGAGCTCTTCATGCGCAATTGCCTCCATATTATGATCATCTTGATCATTTATTCCTTTCCTTTTTCGAGGATTTTTATCCTTGGAACCAACTGGTCTACCACGTTTTAAGCATGGTCCAGACTTATTTGCCTTAACATTTTGTCCTATCGGGACATCAACTCGAACTTGAGCATTAGCAGCTGGGATATATGATTTAGTAACCCGTGGAAGGTTAGTAAATGCATCCGGTAGTTGATTTGCAATATTCTGCAAATAAATTATCTTTTGAACTTCCAGCTCACATTGATTTGTTCGAGGGTCTAAATTAGACAGTGAAAGTGAATTCCAATCTATCTCATTTCCCAACTGCTTTTGTTCTCCCCCTAATGTTGGGTATACTGATTCATCAAAATGACAATCAGCAAACCTTGCCGTAAATAAATCTCTAGTTCTAGGTTCCAAATATTTTATAATAGAACGAGATTCATACCCAACATATATCCCCGACCTTCTTTGGGGACCCATCTTTGTGCGTTGTGGTGGAGCAATTGGAACATATACCGCACAACCAAATATTCTAAGATGGGAAATGTTTGGCTCCTGACCAAAAACCAATTGTAATGGGGAGATATCATGATAACTGGTTGGCCTTATGCGCACAAGTGCCGCTGTATGCAAAATAGCATGCCCCCAAACAGAAACGGGCAACTTTATTCTCATCAACAATGGTCTAGCTATTAATTGAAGACGTTAAATCAATGACTCTGCTAAACCATTTTGAGTATGAACATGTGCAACAGGATGTTCAATTGTTATTCCCGTGGACAAACAATAATCATTAAATGCCTGAGATGTAAATTCACCAGCATTATCAAAACGAATTGTTTTTATTGCATAATCTGGAAATTGTGCTTTTAACCTTATTATTTGAGCCAACAACCTCGCAAAAGCCATATTGCGAGTTGATAATAAGCACACATGAGACCATCTTGTAGATGCATCTATCAAGACCATAAAATATTTAAATGGTCCACATGCAGGATGAATAGGTCCACATATATCACCCTGTATCCGTTCCAGAAATGCAGGGGATTCCATCCCAACCTTAGTCACTGATGGTTTGATAACCAACTTTCCTTGTGAACAAGCAGCACAAGAGAATTCCTTTGATTGAAGAACATTTTGGTTCTTCAAAGTATGCCCATGTGAATTTTCAATTATTTTGCGCATCATATTATAACCGGGATGGCCTAACCGGTCATGCCAAATGATAAAATTATTAGAACCAGTAAACCTTTTGTTTACCACGGCATGTGATTCAATTGTACCAATATTTGTATGGTACAACCCAGAAGAAAGTGCAGACAATTTTTCATGCACAGTTTTCTTCTCTGCATTTATTGTAGTAATATAAAGGTATTCAACCTTTCCTTCATTCGCAGTTTCAACATGATAGCCATTTTGGCGAATAACCTTGAAACTTAACAAGTTTCTTTGAGACTTACTACAATACAATGCATTATCAATTATCAATAATGTTCCTCTAGGTAGTAATAAGGCCGCTCTTCCAGAACCCTCAATCAATTTTGTACTACCGGATATTGTATTAATATATGCCTTTTTCATTACCAAATGAGAGAAATATTTCTTTTCTCTTAGTATCGTATGAGTTGTGGCACTGTCCAAAAGGCACATATCTCCATTACTCATATTGGATCCAACTGAAGACTGGAAAAATTTATTTATCTTCATAAAAATAAAAATACTTAATAAGAAGTACGAAATTTAACAAAACAAATCTTAAGTACATAAACTTTAATGAAGACATTAAAAATACATTAAAAAAAACACTATTCATTTTCCAGTTCAATTATCAATCTTCAGTTGTGATCCCCAAAGAAGTCCTCAGCTTCTAGATGAGTAATATCATCGAACCCATCAAAAGCATCATCTTTCAATGCTAAATTCGCCTCAACATTCTCATCATATTTTTGAGAAGACCCTGCCTGAGCATCATCTGTGAGAGTCAAATGTGACTCTACTCGGGCATTATAAGAGGAGGCACCACCTTTATTCCCTTTCCTTTTAAAGGAATTTTGATACAGCCTGCCAAAATGCTCAGGTGCCCGACATTCATTTTTCCAGTGACCTTTAAGGCCACAACGATAACAGTGATCGCCCTTGCCTTTTGAAGGATTATTTTGAGAACCCATATTGTTCTCCCTTTTGTTATGACCACCACCTCGATGATTATTATATCGTCTTTTGCCTTTGCCACGTCCACGCACATTATCATGGCCCCGATTATTTTGTCTTATTTCAGACTGGTCGTGTGCTTCTACCCTGTGGGCCTCCGGTAATGGAGCACTTCCAGTGGGACGGACTTCATGATTTTTTATTAAAAGGTCATTATGCTGCTCAGCCACCAGAAGGCATGAGATTAATTCAGAGTATTTTTTAAAACCCATTTCACGGTATTGCTGCCGAATATCATATTGGAGGCATGGAAAGTAGTTAGTGTCTTTTCCAACATGTCCTCATCTTTTATAACTTCCCCACATAATTTTAATTGGGAAGTGATTCTGAATACAACAGAGTTATACTCAATTACGGTTTTATAATCTTGAAACCGTAAGTGCATCCACTCATAACGAGCCCTTGGCAATACCGTTGCCTTGAGGTGGTCATACCTCCCTTTCAAACCTATCCACAATTCAAGTGGATCTTTCACTGTTAAGTATTCAACCTTCAGGCTTTCATCAAGATGATGACGAAGGAAAATCATAGCTTTCGCTTTATCCTGACTTGATGCCTTATTTCCTTCGATTATACAATCACCAAGACCCTTAGCGGTAAGGTGAATTTCAGCATCAAGTACCCATGACAAATAGTTCTTTCCAGAAATGTCAAGTGCCACAAATTCAAGCTTTGACAAATTCGACATGATGAAAACTATCATAAAATAATTGAGTTAATATTATGATGTTGGTTTGTTTATTATAAATGACAAATTAATACTTTAAATAATAAAGTATAAGATGAGTATAAAATATATTATATACATGAACATTAATGTTAGAAAAAAAAATGTAAACTCATGAAGCATTGAAACGGTAAGAGTTAAATATATTTTCTACTTGTTTTAAGTATTTATTACTAGTTTCAATTAACGTCAAAGTTTGATAATAATTTCAAGCTGTATTTAATACAACACTATATTCTTTATGACACACAAAATGTATGACAAGAAAATACTTACGAGTATTCTAATTATCATGCTATCATATTGCTTAATATTAAATTTAGAGTTATAAGTTAGTAGCATAAATAACATAACAATATAAACTTGAAACGTATTGATTATTATGCCTAGTAAAGTATCATAATAATATCTAAAGCAAGTTTTGAATGCAGTAATTAAATCGCTAATCAAAGACTTATGTAAGTCCTATTAGATATGTTATAAACATATAAATTAATGTATACCTGACTCGAAAAGAAAATTGATCAACTTTTAGGAAAAAAGATAACTCTGAATTAAGTAGGTCTTAATTTGGTTAGAGACTCGTGCTGATAACGTGTTGTAAAACAAGAGGAAAATATAAGAATACTAAACAATATAGGAAGATAAGTGGTGATGGAAAATATAAATCTCTTCAAGTGTCAATTTTCTAAGGGTGAAGACTACCTTTTATAGGATGTTTAAACCATCCTTTTACAACATTTGACAATACGTTACTATAATAATAAATGGATACATTACGTTAGGATAGATTAGGAGAAACATCCACACAATTAAGTGGATTTGTAACATTAAGATGTTTCTAGAACTATTTAATTTTCGTGTTTTCATTCTTGGTAGATTTTTGTTAGCGTGAAATTACATTTTTACCCTTGATCATTATTCATTTCATATATAGAAAGATGTTTCTAGAATTATTTACTATCTTTCTTAATAGATTTAATCGTTATTTGACAAATATTAAAAGGTAGTTCTATAGCATTCTAATCAACATTAATTAATATTGATCCTGGTAAAAAATTTAGTATAAAAAAAATTAAAAAATAGCCATCAAAGAATATAGCACATCACTGCATTGAATGGTGTTTCTCCTTTCCTAATTAAATACCTTAATTTTGAGTTTTTGATATGAAAAAAATTCTTAATAGGGAGCACTATATCCAAATGGGCCCTATTTCAGAGCACATTAGAATTAATCGAACTCCAATATGAATATCGAATATTAAATAAAAAATATTAAATTAAATTAACCCAAAAATATTTTAAAGTATAATTGATATTAACGATGGGTAGATTCATTTTTTAGTTGTAAAACTCTCAAGTCTAATATTTAATTAATTTATTTATTACTATAAGACACAAATTTATTAGGATTCAGAGTTAATTTGTCTATTAGATTGAATTATATCTTATATAAAAATCATGAATCATTATGTAATATCATCTTGAAATCTATCCTATTCATTTCAATTAATCTGTCATATTTTTTTATAATTTGTTAAAAAATAATGTCCCTTTTCTTTTCTTAGTTTCAACTCCACATAACATATTTAAGATCAGAAGATCAAAAGGCATTTACTATATTTCATATAATTTAAATTTAAAATCACAAGACTCAAAAATCTTCCTTAATTTCTTAAATTTCATGCCAAGTCAATATAGAACAAATACATTGAAACAGAGAGATTAAGATTTTTATTTATCACTCATACATAAAAATTAGAACTAAGAAGCATGTTTCACTATCACATGAAGTTATATATATGCATAATTTATCTTAATGAACATAATTTTTTTAGCATGATACAAATGTGTTTACGGTTCTCTTTTTTCATGCACAATAACTTATAGGAATATGTATTTTTGTTATTTTTATTAGTTTAGTGAAAAAATTTCAAACAATCTCAAAACATAAATGCATTTTCTCTGTTTAAAAAATAATATTTAGAATCAAATGTTAAATTAACATGATATTTTGATACATATTTCATTACATATCATATTGATTTCCTTGTCTAGATATTTTATCTTATTTCAAAATTTATTCGTAATTTTTAAAATTACTATTACGCATTTGCTATTTTTGTCATCTCTTTTTAAATATTAATCTACTTAAATTTAATTTACTTCTCTAATTAATGTATTGATTTTTCATGTGTTTCGATTCTTAACTTCTTATTTCAAACAAAAGAATAGCAATATTAAGTAAATAAAGTAAACAATCTATTATAATTAATTAAATATTATTCTGATTAATCTTAAAATTTAAAATATTCTATTATCAAAATATTCTTATCATTAATGTACGTAAATTGAACACGAAGAATACTTATTATTTCTCTTCAATATTTATTTCACAAAATTTTAAAACTATTTATTTAAAAATTTAGTGAGACTCTTAGTTTACTTTAATTTCATTTAATTTATCTATCCATTTTTTTATTTTTTTATTTTTATGCTCCCTAATTAAAATATTTTTATTTTTTCATACATTTTAAATCATGTTTGTTTCTTTTTATATTTATTTTAGTGCAATAGGTAAAAGTGTTAATGTAATATAAATTGATTTTAAAAATGGGTTCCACCATTTTTAGCTAGTATGGCTACTTTTGATATTTTTTACGCTTTTCATGATAGGAAGTACACGTGGCCATCATAATAATAGCAACTTGGTTGGGTATTTGGGAAATTCAATAATTTTGCAGCACAAAGTACAACTGTTCTAAGCTGATAATTTTGATAAAATGAAAAAAGTGCCCTTGATCGTCCTCCTCATCACTTTTCTATATTTTACTAGATAAGTATTGCCCGTGCTAACACGGGCCCAACATGTTGAATTTTAAGACGTCTTTTCTATTTGGCACAAGTATTTTAAGGTGTATATCTACAACCAAGTTGAAAATATTAACTTGATAATTCTTTGAACAAACTGATGGATTATATGAGGTTGATTGGTACCTTAGCACATGAAAACAATATTTATAGGTTAACTATTCACTCCAATCATGTTTCACTAATTTTGAGTAATATACGCAACATCAATAACATATCTAAATATATATATATATATATAATTTCATAAATGTGATTTGAAGAGGATAGAGTGTAAGCACTACCTCACCTCAAGGACTATAACACAGTGCTAATGAGATCTAAGTGAATTCACTCCGAACTTGGGTGCAATGATGATTTTAGCTGGTCTATTGGAAGTGGATGTAGTGAAGGCGCTTCATCTGGGGATTTGAGGAAAGACGACTAACCTTTTTGGGACTAAATACTTTGCTAGAACACAAAATAATACAGATTCTATCGTAATTAAATACTACAAGACACTTATAGAGTATTTGTTACCATTAGGCCTTTGACTTGAAAGTAAGATTAAGTTATTCATCAAAACTGACCATATTTTGGATTCTAAAGTTGAACTGCGCGCAGTGTGATTGAAAGGCAGTACACCTTAGATTGATCTTGTTTGCTTAGCACGGACCCAACAACTTGGAATGCAGTACACTTTAGATTGATCTTGTTTGCAACCTCACAATTTTTTAAAATCATTTGTGTTCTCTTGATTAAATTAGAGACAACATACATGCATGCAAGATGACATAGCACATCAATGTACGCTGAAGCAAGAGATAGAGACATTTTTTTAAATCAGCATGAACTTAAATCATAATAACAAAATAGCAAAACGAAGTTTCATGTATATTTTAATAAAACATCCAAGTTACAACAAAGCAGTATAAATATCATTCTCGATTTCTTTCATTGTCAAATTCCCTCCCAAGCTTGGTATTTGAGAAAAACACGGCATCATTTGGGTCTGCAAACCAGTAAAACATTCACTCATGAAAATGTAAAATCAACGCAAAAGAAATGTGTATATAATACACTCTACACATAGCCGCTGCTAAAAAATTTAGGATGTCAATGTCATCACATAAATTTACCCGGTCAACTATATGCATTTAACTTTCAGAAAGCTCCTTTACATGTTACCATAAATACGATACTTTGATAAGTAAATTACAATAAGTTCAATATGTGGTCAATACATATTGCAACAATCGCTAAACAAAACGGAACCAACAATATCGTCTAGTAACAACTTAGTTCTAAGAATTTAGAAAGTATGCAACATCTGTAATGCACCATATTCTACTGAACAATTCTCTTTCCACTTTCAAATACAAAGGGGTCGTTTGATTCATGAAATAAGGTCGGATATCCTAGGATTAAGTTTAGACTTAAATTTATACTTTGTTTGGTTGAGGGTGCAACTCATTTCAGGATAAATTTATACTAAAACTTATAAGTGTTATTTTATCTCACCTGGGAGCAGGCATAAATTAGTCCTAGAATTATAACCCCAAGATAATTTTGTCCGCGAAGAACGACACTCCAAGAGAAGAACAATACATAGAACTTCAAAGAGGGTTCCTTCCTCTCTTCGCTCTCCATGTTTTGATCCAATCTACAGAGCTGTAATCATAAAATGTTAAAGACACTATTTATTAATTACTGAGTGTCCTATGAACATCAAAATTTTGATGATATTTTTAGAAAAAGGTTGAGCAGAAAATATATTAATAACCTTCAGCTCTATGGGATTATTCATGGCCACAAACCATGTAGAGATATCCAACAGAAACTATGAAGACTTCTTCTCAAGCTAGGTGAAGCCATGAACATAAAAAATGTAGTGGTAATTGAATTGAAAACACAAATACAAAGATGAGAATCTTTAGAATTCAAACGATACAACTATATAAACTAAATAGATCTATTCAAGAAGAAATACCAGCTGATCACGAAGCTATCGACAGTAACAAATACCTTATTCTAGATTTATAATGCTAATTGGTACAATTAAACCACTGAGACAGAGGGTTTTGTAGCACTTCTTTTCAATACCATTGAAT